TGAAGCTGTTGCAAGAGAAACAGAGATGACTCAAAACAAGATTCTCTATTCTGCAAAGCTCGACGAGAACATGCGAAGATCAGCCTACTTCGAAACAAACAAGAGAACCGTCAAATCAAACATCATGCTGAAGTTTGTGATGAAAGCAATGGATATCAAGCTTCGAGGTGAAGCCGATTTCACGACTACTCTTGAAGATCCAATTGAACTCTTGCAACATATTGAACGATTCATGAAGAGGAGTGCTGATGCTGAGTATGACTTCTTGGATTTCTGGGAGGCCAATCAAAAGTTCTTTGCTATGAAGCAGGGAACAACAGAAAACTTGATGCATTTCAAGGAACAATTCTTGAGACAGGCTGAAGTCCTGCAAGATCTATATGGCGTTGCCTGGTTCCGAAATTTTGCAGTCAAAACAAAAGCGTATGCTGCTATTGCTAGCACCGATACTACTGCTAGAGACAAGTTCAAGGATGATATCTTTGAAGCCGTTCTTGCAACAGGATTCCTGTGCAACTGTAATCGAATGAGAACAGCTCCTCTGATGCTGGATCTTCAGACAAACTACTGCAGGGAAGTGGATTATTATCCAAAGACGGTCAGTAAAGCACAAGCTATGTTGAAGATTCACATGGATGTGACCAAGAATCCGGGAGTGAACCTTTACCAAGGAAAAGACCAGCCAACTAAAGGTAGAGGTAAAGGTAAACCAAAGGACGATAAGAAAAAAGGTAGCATGTTATGTATGTGGCAAAGAGGACCATATGTCTCCAAAATGCCCAGACAGACTGTACCAGAGATTCAATGGAAGCATCCGAAACACTATTTTGTTTATGGAAAGAAGCTCAATCTTAATCAGATTGGAGCAACTATCCCAGCTACAGCTACAGTTCCTGGACCTTCTCCAGCGACCAGTATTATAACAGGTGGAACATCAAGTGTTGCGGGAAGCGTTAACACACCTTTGCGACTTACTGGTACTACAGGTAATCAGATGATGCAAGTTCCTGCGGGAATGCAGCTCATGCAGATACCAACTCAAGGTGACGGCACTGTGACTGTCCCTTACTTAATGAATGCTAACGGTGAGATTGCGTTCAGTGGAATGCAACTCAGCCAACAAGGCTTCTGTGGTGCTCAAGTGCGCCAAGGATTCGATGCAACTCAAGCTCGAATTCCGCAAGTTGTGAAGACTGGTTATTATGATATGTCAAATGTCTTTCACGATGCTGTCAAGGGAAAGGATGAGAATGGCAATGATGTCTATCTTATTCCATGTCCTGCTGGAACGACAAACGTCGAACTTCAATCCGACTGGCACTATGCTAGTAAAAGTGAAGACTTGCCAGATCTTGCTACTAAAGCAGATCGAGGTATGCAGTTTATTCAAAGCCACAGAATTGAAAGAGATCCGTTTGGTTTGCTTGATCACGTCATCATGGACAGTGGTTGCACCAACACCACCATTTGTAATGGTGAACTCATGCATGGACTATGTCAAGCTGAGAAAGAGCTCGATATGCACACTAACATGGGCAGCAGAGTTCTTGATGAAGAAGGGTTTCTAGGAAGATTTCCGCCTCCAGTCTATTATGATGAAGACAGAATTGCCAATGTACTTGCTATGTGCGAGATGATTGCTGCGGGATACCGCATTACCATGGACACTGATTTTGACAATGCCTTTGTTGTGCATTGCAATGGAGACAGACAGATGCGATTTGTGAATCGTAAGGGTGTATATGTGTTGGAGCAACTTGGAGCGGATGTTGAACCAGGTGCCACAGAGACAAGTGCGATGTATCGTCGCCAGTTAAGCAGCATAAATAAACAACCCCATTTCGAACTTTCTTCAAACAAACAGAATGGATATGCTGGACTCGGGATGACTGCGAAGATGGCAATGGTTCGAAAGAACAAGGAAGGATTCACTCCAAGACAAGTTAAGGCTGCGATGGAAGCGAGAAGTGCGATGCACATACTCAATGCTCCAAGCACCAAAAGTCTGAAGTATGCGATCCGATCTGGTCTCATCAAGGACTGTCCTATCACTGAAGAAGCGACCAACCATGCTGGAGCGATCTTTGGACCTGACACATCTACATTGAAAGGCAAGTCAACAAGACCAACTCCCAAGAAGACACACAATGACTTCTTCAGTCCACCAGAGGAATTGTATCAACATAATCGAACAATTACCGTCTGTATTGATCACATGGAGATCGGAGATGCTAAGTTTCTCACCTGCATTGATACCACTGTGCGTTATCGCTCATGTATTCCCATGCAGAACCTGAAGACTGACCCTGTATATGAAGCATTGGATAAGATATTCCGCCGCTACAATAAGGCAGGCTTTCATGTCAAGACGATCAAGTGTGATCGGGCATTCATCCCTCTGACGGATGATATGCTAGATGATATGGGTATTACTATTGACCCGACTGCAGCTGGAGACCACGAGCCTACAGCTGAGCAAAACAATCGAACCCTGAAAGAAAGAGTTAGAGTAGCTCTTGCACGGTTACCCTACAAAGTGGTCCCAAAGGTGATCACTGAATGTCTTGGACGTCGAGCCGCCAAGCTATTGAATGTCTTTCCCCAGAAAGACAGTATTTCTTCACATTTCAGTCCGCAGCAACTCATTGATAATGTCAATATCAACTACAAGAGCAACATGGTTGCTGAGCTTGGACAGTATGTTCATGCAATTGGGACGGATTCCAGCAATTCAATGGAACCACGAAGTATTGAAGCGATCTACATTGAACCTACAAAGGGACAACGTACAGGGCACCCGAGTGCTGATTTCTCGACCCAAGGTTGTCGTACTACCCGTTACCGATCAAGTAATCCAGCGTGTTGAAGCTTGGGCTGCTGCCAAAGGTGTTACCTCTATGAAGTTCTTTGATAAGAAGAGAGATTTGGAGACATTTCAAGATGGCGATCAAATCGCAGGAGTGGATGACACGGAACAAGGTTACTTAGAAGAAGCCTTCGATCAGGACTATGAACCTGAAGATGAAAATGCACGTGATTTCAATCTACGTGGACAATTCGATGATATCAATGACTCCGAAAGAAATGAGCTCTTGGCAGATGCAGACAATGATGTCGATGATATGCCGGAAGTCATTGTCAGATTCCAAAGGGATGATGACTATGAATCAGATGACGACGATTCAGGTGATGAAGGCGATGAAGAGGAAGAACCTATTGTGGCCGATTTGGATCACCATCAAGAAAGTCAATAGAGGAACCAATGATATTGGAAGCCTTGTTACTGATCTGGAGGATCTACAAGAACCGCCAGAAGAAGAGATTGTATTTGAGCCTGAAGAGCCTCAAGTAGCAAAAGTTACTCGATCTGGGCAAACGTATACGCAAGCTGCAATGTCTGGGCTGAACCTTTCTCAAGTTCCAAAGAAACCAAGAGAATGGCCTTCAAGCAGGAGTGGCAGTTCTGCCAATAAGAACCAGAATCGAGTTGCGACAAGACGCAAGCATCGAGAGAGGGAAATGAAACCGTTAAAGGACAAATTGAAGTCTGGTATTTGTACCAAAGAGGGAAGTCGCAGTACTAAAGACAGTAAAGCTATACTTGA